ACACACCCGGTTAGTTTTTGCATTTTTAGGAGAGAAGGGGTTTCACTATGTTGGCCAAGCTGGTCTCGAACTCTGGACCTCAGGTGATCCTCCCGCCTTGGCCTCCAAAACTGCTGGGATTACAGGCGCGGCCATTGTGTGTGTGTGTGCGTGACGGAGTCTCACTCTGTTGCCCAGGCTAGAGTGCAGTGGCCCAATCTCGGCTCCTCCACCTTTCAGGTTCAAGAGATTCTCCTGCCTCACCCTCCCTAGTAGCTGGGATTACAGGAGCGCACCAACATGTCTGGCTTCTTTGTATTTTTAGTAGAGGTTTAGTAGGGGGTTCTCTATGTTGGCCAGCCTGGTCTCAAACTCCTGACCTCATGATCTGCCCGCCTCGTTCTCCTAAAGTATTGCTATTTTACAGGCGTGAGCCACTGCGCCCTCCTGAGACAGGAAGTCGCTCTGTTGTCAAGGCTGGAGTGCAGGGGGCGCGATCTGGGCTCACTGCAATATCCACTTCCCGGGTTCGAGCGAATCTCCTAGTTTAGCCTCCCGAGTAGCTGGGACTACAGACCTGCGCTACCACGCCAGGCGAGGGTTCGCTATGTTGGGCGTTGCCAGGCTGACCTCGAACTCCTTGACCTCAAGTGATCCTCAAGCCGTGGCTTCCCAAAGTGCTGCCTGGACGCTTCTAAAGCTCTAACTTCACATCTCTTCGCAACAGACAGATGTTTTCCGCGACCAAGGAGCCAACTGGAAGCCTAAGAATCAGCCGTGAGAGCCGGGACTTGAAAGAAACCTCCTCAGCACTTCCGGTTCCGGTTCTGAACTTAGCCGTGAGTGGTCCAGATCTCTCAAGACGTGCAGGTTCAACTTCCGGGGCAGGAGTGCGCTGCCCGTCCGGATGCTGCGACTGCGCACTCCGGCCAATTAAAAACTCCCAGGTGCCTCCGCGGCACTTGGTGGCTACGTGATGCATGCTGGGAGTAATATGAGGACTAGGATCCAAGTGTATGAGGAGGCTCTTGGCGTATCCTGCATTTTCCCAAGAACTTAGGATCCGTGGGGTGGTTGGCGTTTAGGAAGTGAGCATCATGTGCATTGGACAGGGCTCTGTAGACCCCACTGGGTGGAGGGGAAGCGAGGAGCGTTGGCGGTGCCTGCGCGAAGCCTGTGGCGCGCATGCGCAGCCATGTGTGTTCCTAAACTGAATAGGGATGATGGTGGGGACGAGGTGGCGTTATTGCGCCTGCGCAGGGCTGCGGGCTGCTGGTCTTCCTAGTTATAGTGTGAAAAGACAGAGTCGCCTTCTGCTGGATGCTGAGTTGTTGGGAATAAGTGCTTATCTTCCGATGTCACAGGGAAGAATCAGCATTCAGACAAAAGGTTTCTCAGCAAGGATTTCGCTTCCTTTCTGCAGTCTTGCCGCGAGAGTGCACTGAACAAAGGCAGAGAAGCCATGTTTATGTCTAATGCATCCAGCCATAGTGCTGTGTCCTGATGGCATCGGCTGGAACCGGATCTCACATTCTAGGCTATACCCGATTGGCTAAAAACTTTAAACTTTCCTGAAGAGGTAAGGGCAGAGAAGAAAATGGAAAACAGAAAGTAGCTTAGGGAATGCCGAGAGAGAGAGAAAGAGAGAGAGAGAGAGAGAGAGAGAGGGAGAGAGAGAGAGAGAGAGAGGCAAAAATACTTCTAAATAAGGAAAGAGGAACAAGCTACGGCCTAAGGCTCGTCCGAGCTTATCCAGGTATGTCAGGGCAGTATCTAGGATAAAATGTAAGAACTAGGAACAGAAAATACACTGGGCTGGCAGATGTAACAAAGGCCTTTGAGTAGATTAACCTAGAGAAACAGACTATAATTTTTGTTTGTTTTTTTTTTTTTAGACAGAGTCTCGCTCCGTCACCAGGGGCCAGGCTGGAGTGCAGTGGCGCGATCTCGGCTTACTGCAATCTCCGCCTCCTGGGTTCAAGCAATTCTGCCACAGCCTCCTGAGTAGCTGGGACTACAGGCGGACGCCACCACACCCAGCTACATTTTGTATTTTTAGTAGAGACGGGGTTTCACATGTTGACCAGGATGGTCTCGATATCTTGATCTCATGATCCCCCCGCCTCGGCCTCCCAAAGTGCTGGGATTACAGGCGTGAGCCACCGCGCCTGGCCCAATCTATTATTACTAGGCTAAGGGAATTTGAAGAGGAACCTTTTTTATTTCACTTGCTACATGAGTTCTTGAAAGAACCTGTTGTGGCTGAAGAATGTGAGTCGCTGTCACCTCCTTTTCACCTCTCACCACAACCATGAGGAATTTCTGCAGAGAAATGACTGCTTGAGGGGCTCCTGGTGTGGATCCCTAGTGAAATTTTGCAGCAATGAGGTTAAAACGTGGTTTAACCTTGAGATGTTTGGGAGCTAGCACTGAGCTAAAGATGGCCTCAGGAAAGGACCTGAGAAGACATGATTCAGATGCCCAAGGATAAGACACTCCTTCCCTCCACCCAAGGATCCCCCTTGGAACTCTCTAGAATTCCTTTTACATTTCAAACCACAGCATTCCCAGAGCCCTGACCCCAGGAACCTGGTGTGGACTTAGAGAGGTGTTGCTGGTGCCCTGTCGCTTCCTCCAGGTTAAGTGGCTGGGGTGAGGGCAGCTATGACCCTGGCAAGTGCTTCTTAACTTCACACTGGGTTCCAAAAACGTCTTGATGGGTCACAAGTCTTTCAGACGTGGAAAGTGCTGTTGGTGCACACCTAAACATCGAAGAGCACATGGGGTTTAATTTTTTCTTAGTTCATAAATGAGTCTCTTTTTTTTTGGTTTTCCAATGAGTTATTTAAAATTAGCAAAATTCACAATTTCCGCCAGGAACGGTGGCTCACAATTTTAAGTCGAGCTGGGTTTTCACAAATGCATACTTGTATGATCAAGACACAAAACACTCTGTCACCCTTAAAAACCTCCTACTGCCCTTGTGGGCACAAACTATCCTGTGACCCTTAATGCCTCATCTGGTTCTAAATTCCTGTACTTTTGCTCTATCCAGAATGTCATATAAATTGATGCTTTTGAATACTCTGTTTAAAACTTAATGCTGGCTGGGTGTAGTGGCTCGCTCCTGTAATCCCAGCACTTTCTGAGACAGAGGTGGGCAGATCACCTGAGGTCAGGAGTTCAAGACCAGCCTGGCTAATATGGTGAAACTTGGTCTCTACTAAAAATACAAAATTAGCTTGGTGTTGTGGCATGCACCTATAATCCCAGTTACATGGGAGGCTGAGGCAGGAGAATCACTTGAACCTGGGAGACAAAGATTGCAGTGAGCGGAGATGAAGCCATTGCGCTCCACCCTGGGCAAGAAAAGTGAAACTCTTCTCAAAAAAACAAAAATAAACATCTAATTCCATACTTGGCAAATGGTGTAATTATATTTATTATCCAGAAGAAGATGACTTGTCTTGAAATATAAAAATTTAAGGCCAGGCACAGTGGTTCATGCCTGTAATCCCAGCACTTTGAGAGGCTGAGGTGGGCAGATCACGAGGTTAAGAGATCAAGACCATCCTGGCCAACACGGTGAAACCCCATCTCTACTAAAAAAGTACAAAAATTAGCAGGGTGTGGTGGCGAACACCTGTAGTCCCACCTACTCGGGAGGCTGAGGCAGGAGAATTGCTTGAACCGGGGAGGAGGAGGTTGCAGCAAGCCAAGATCACGGCACTGCATCTCAGACTGGTGCCTGGCGACAGAGCAAGACTCTGTCTCAAAAAAAAATTGTTGTATACCTATACAACAAATCTGCACAATCTGCACATGTACTCCAGAACTGAAAGTATAATAATAATAATAAATTGTTTAAGGATAACTAATAAATTTGGGTGTTACTCAAAATGATAATCCTATCTGCAGCTCACTTCCGTTATTCCTGGAATGGTTCTCTCACTATCCATACATTTTATCCTCACCAGGAAAGCATGGGACTTGCCTAGATACAACTCTGCTCATGGGAAAAGACACAATGGGCTAGAATTGTGCAGGTGACCATCACTGTTCCTCAAACTGTGAAGAACTCTAGCTTTCTGCAGAACACAATTTTTTTTTTTTTTTTGAGACAGTTTCGCTCTTGTTACCCAGGCTGGAGTGCAATGGTGCAATCTCGGCTCACTGCAACCTCCGCCTCCTGGGTTCAAGCAATTCTCCTGCCTCAGCCTTCCGAGTAGCTGGGATTACAGGCACGCGCCACCATGCCCAGCTAATGTTTTGTATTTTTAGTAGAGACGGGGTTTCACCATGTTGACCAGGATGGTCTCGATCTCTCGCCCTCGTGATCCACCTGCCTCGGCCTCCCAAAGTGCTGGGATTACAGGCTTGAGCCACCCCGCCCGGCCAGAACACAATTTTTTAGTCAGTGTGTAGGAGCAGCAAAACAACAATGTCACATACATGGCAATTTACAATTATTTCACAGACATTAAAAACAAACACCCAGGCCAGGCGCGGCGGCTCATGCCTGTAATCCCAGCACTTTGGTAGGCCAAGGCGGGTGGATCACGAGGTCAAGAGATCAAGACCATCCTGGTCAACACGGTGAAATGCTATCTCTATTAAAAATGCAAAAATTAGCTGGGTGTGGTGGTGTCCGCCTGTAGCCCCAGCTACTAGGGAGGCTGAGGCAGGAGAATTGCTTGAGCCCAGGAGGTGGAGATTGTAGTGAGCTGAGATTACACCACTGTACTCCAGCCTGGCAACAGAGCAAGACTCTGTCTCAAATAAATAAATAAATAAATAAATAAATGAAATAAAAAATAAAAAACAAACACCACATTGTGGTTCAAATCCATATGAAACAACTGGTCCCAGATACCAATGTCCAAACTCATAAGAACATGACACACCCTAAAATTTTTAATATTTGCAGAAATGAAGCTGAACGCTAAGTATACCTTCATTTTTGTGGGAAATAATAATAATAATTATTATTATTTTTGACACACGGTCTCATTCTGTCACCCAGGCTGGAGTACAGCGGCAAGATAGTAGCTCATTGCAGCCTGGGCCTTCTTGTCTCAAGCAGTCCTGGCCCACTTCATCACCATACCCTTGTGAGTGGATGTCATTCATCTGTCGTGGAGTCAGGGTTTCCAGGGCAGACCCCCGCCGGTGGCGATCAACCTCTCAATTTTTGGAGGAGGGAATCCCTACAGAAGGCTTTTCCACACTGCCTGCATTGACAGCCTTCTCTCCAGCGTGCTTTCTCTCGTGCTTGTGTAAAGATGAGGACCAACCATACGTCTTCCCACATGTTTCACATTTATGGACTTTCTCTCTCCTTTGCGGTCCGAGATTGGTGGAGCGGGGAGGCCTGGCGGGAGGCTTTCCTACGCTGCCTCCACTGACAGGTTTCTTTGCAGCATGGATTCTCGCATGCTTGTGTAAGGACGAGGGCCATCCAAATGCCTTCCCACATTTTTCGCACGTGTAGGGTTTCTCTCCGTTGTGAATCCGCACGTGGCGTTGAAAGGACGTCACCCAGCAGTAGGCTTTGCCGCACTGCTTGCACTCATACGGTTTCCCTCCGGTGTGCACAACCACGTGGACGCGGAAGGATTTCTGGCACCTGAAGGCTTTCCCACAGTGCTGGCACTCATAGGGTTTCCCTCCCGCGTGCATCATCACGTGCGCTCGGAAGGATTTGGGGCAACTGAAGGCTTTCCCACACTGCCTGCAGTCATAGGGTTTCTCTCCGGTGTGAGTCCTGATGTGTTCAGTGAGGGAGTGGGAACGGAGAAACGCCTTCCCACAGGATGGACACGTGTAGGGTTTCTCGCCACTGTGAGTTTTCTCGTGAGTCTGTAGGTATGAAGGGCGACTGAAGGCTTTCCCACATTCCTTGCATTTATATAACTTCTGTCCAGAGTGAGCTCTTCTGTGCCTCATCAGGGATGAAGAGTGGGTGAAGACGCCTCCACACTGACCGCATTCATACCGTTTCACACCAGTCCGATGACCCTCGCGCAGATTACGACAATTTTGAGTCCTTCTGAAGCTTCCTCCACACTTCCTACCTTTACCACTTTTACGTGGTCTCTCTACCCTTGGATTCCTGCTAACAATGGCAGCACGTTATTAATGGTGTATGCCTTAATAATTTCTTCATATATATTAATGAATATTTGGATGACATTTTTGTCATTTTCTGTGCAAATGTAAGTTTTCTGTATTGTTAAAATTATTATTTTTCTTTTTTTTAAAATAACCAGCTTAGGGAAGAAAAATTATTTGAAACTGGAATAAGTACTCTGGTAGAAAGTTCAGGCTGGGCAAGGTGACTCATGCCTGTAATCCCAGCATTTTGGGAGGCCAAGGTGGATGGATCACTTGAGATCAGGTGTTCGAGACCAGCCTCGAACCAACATGGTTTGACCAACATGGTGAAACCCCATCTCTACTAAAAATACAAAATTAGCTGAGCATGGTGGCACATGCCTGTAATCCCAGCTACTCAGGAAGTTGAGGCCAGAGAATTGCTTGAACGTGGGAGGCAGAGGTTGCAGTGAGATGAGACTGAACCACTGTACTCCAGTCTGGGCAAGAAAAGCAAAACTCTGTCTCAACAACAACAAAAAGAAAAAGAAAAAAGAAAAAAGAAAGTTCAACCATTACAAAAACAACAGTAATACGTGGGGTGCTCTGATAATTGTTTCCAACAGAATTATCTTTTTTTTTCTTGAGACAGAGTCTTATCCTGTTGTCCAGCCCAGGATGGAGTTCAGAGGCATGGTCTGGGCTCACTGCAAACTCTGCCTCCCAGTTCAAGCGATTCCCCTGTCTCAGCCTCCTGAGCATCTGGGACTACAGGCGCGTGTCACCACACGCAGCTAATTTTTGTATTTTTAGTAGAGATGGGGTATCACCATGTTGGTCAGGTTGCCTGTGACACTGATTGTGTCACGAACTCCTGATCTCAGGTGATCCACCTGCCTCAGCCTCGGAAAGTGCTGGGATTACAGGCATCAGCTGCTACGCCCAGCCACAATTATCTTTCAAAAACTCAATGTCTAAGTCATATTGAGGAAAAAAAATGAGGGAAAAATCTTTTTTTTGTTTTTGAGATAGAGTCTCACTCTGTTGCCCAGGCTGGAGTGCAGTGGTGCAATCTCAGCTCACTGCAACCTCCGCCTCCCAGATTCAAGCGATTCTCCTGCCTCACCTTCCTGAGTAGCTGGTACTACAGGCGCGTGTCACCACACCTGGATAATTTTTGTATTTATTAGTACAGATGGGGTTTCCCCATATTGGCCAGGCTGGTCTCGAACTCCTGACCTCATGATCCACCCGCCTCAGCCTCCCAAAGTGCTGGGATTACAGGCGTGAGCCACCGCGCCCAGCTCAGAATTACTTTTCAAACACCCAGTGTCTAAGTCCTATGAAGTAAAAAAATGAAAGGAAAATTCTCTACAAGTAAATAAGTTTGGAGCTAGGTTTATGAAGGCTTCTAAACATTTCATGAAATACGACAATTCTATGCGGGGATACAACTGACCTCAAGCGTCTCTTCTTGGTGGTATGCTTCTCTTTAACACTACGTTCTTCCCGTTTTTTTCCTAAAAGGGAGGCCCATGTATTATTTCTTATGAACTTTTCTATTTTCTGTTGAATGGATAATTTTTCTCCAAAATTATCCTGCTGTGCAATGGAGCCATTGGCTTTACGTTGCGTCTCATTACCTGAAACAAAAATGTGAACAGATATCAGGAGGAAGGTATCTGTGAGAAAGCAGGTACATTTGGGTGCTTCACGGTTTCATGAGTTCATGATTAAAAGTACAAGAGCTCCCTCTCTGCCTTCCTGGAGCCTGTGGGGCCTGCTGGGAACATGACTTCTGAAAGAAAATATGGCTGGAAGGTGGTGGTCCAAGGCCAGTTTGGCTGCCTACAATCAGGGTCTCCAAAAGCAAGGGGAACACACAGCTCTTCTTAAAATTGAAGGTGTTGGCTGAGCGCGGTGGCTCACACCTATAACCCCAGCACTTTGGGAGGCGGAGGCGAGAGGATCACCTGAGGTTAGGAGTTTGAGACCAGCCTGACCAACATGGAGAAACCTCGTTTTTTTTTTTTTTTTGAGACCAAGTGTCATTGTGTCGCCAGGCTGGAGTGCAGTGGCACTATCTTGGCTCACTGCAACCTCCACCTCCTAGGTTGAAGCAATTCTCCTGCCTCAGTCTCCCTAGTAGTTGAGATTACAGGTATGCACCACCACACCCAGCTAATTTTTGTTTTGTTTTGTTTTGTTTGAGACGGAGTTTTCGCTCTTGTTACCCAGAGGCTGGAGTGTAGTGGCACGATCTCGGCTTACTGCAACCTCCACCTCCCAGGTTCAAGCGATTCTCCTGCCTCAGCCTCCCTAGTAGCTGGGATTACAGGTGTGCACCACCACACCCAGCTAATTTTTGTATTTTTGTAGAGACGGGGTTTCACCATGTTGGCCAGGATGGTCTCGATCTCCTGACCTCATGATCCGCCCGTCTCGGCCTCCCAAAGTGCTTGGACCTGTCTCTACTAAAAATACAAAAAAATTATCCGGGTGTGGTGGCATGCACCTGTAGTCCCAGCTACTCGCGAGGCTGTGGCAGGAAAATCGTTTGAACCGCAGAGGTGGAGGCTGCAGTGAGCCAAGATCACGCCATTGCACTCCAACCTGGGCAACAAGAGCGAAACTCTGTCTCAAAAAAACAAAAACAAAAACAAAAACAAACAAACAAACAAAACAAACAAAAAAAACCACAACCAAAACAAACAAAAAAACCCAAAAAACTGAAGGTGTTTATGCACAACATGAAATGGAAATCTATTTGCATAAGAGACATGCTTATGTATACAAAGCAAAGACGAACACAGTGACCCCTGGCGGGAAACCAAACGAAACCAGACTCATCTGGGGAAAGGTAATTCAGGCCCAAAGAGACAGTGGCGCCTCTCATGCCAAATTCTGATGCAATCTTCCTGCTAAGGCCATAGGACGCAGAATCCCTCTGATGCTGTGCCCTTCAAGGATTTAAACTAATGAGAAGTAAAAAAAAAAAAAAAAAAAAAAGTACAAGAGGTCAACATGGTAAGCAATTTTAAATGCACAGAAAAATCACTAGGTTTCTTTTTTTTTTTTTGAGTCAGAGACTCATTCTGTCGCCCAGGCTGGAGTGCAGTGGCACAATCGTGGCTCACGGCAACCTCTGCCTCCCGGGTTCAAGTGATTCTCCTGCCTCGGCCTACCGAGTAGCTGGGATTACGTGCACCTGCCACCACACCGGCTAATTTTTGTATGTTTAGTAGAGACGGGGTTTTGCCATGTTGGCCAGGCTGCTCTGGAACTCCTGACCTCATGATCTGCCCGCCTCGGCCTCCCAAAGTGCTGGGATGACAGGTGTGAGCCCCCGCGCCCGGCCCATCACCAGGTTTCAAACACTAAAGCTCTCTGTGCCCCCAAACATACCCACATTGATGACACAAAAGGACCCTAAGTCTTTTCAGCAAGACAGAAAGAAAAGTATTGATCCATAAGTAGGTTTTTTTTTTTTTTTTTTTTTTTTTTTTTTTTTTTTTTTTTGAGATAGAGTCTTGCTCTGACACCCAGGCTAGAGTGCTGCAGTGGCGTGATCTCAGCTCACTGCAACCTCCGCCTCCTGGGTTGAAGCAATTCCCTGCCTCAGCCTCCCAAGCAGCTGTGATTACAGGTGCCCCCATCACACCTGGCCAATTTTTGTATTTTTAGTAGAGACGGGGTTTCACCATCTTGGCGAGGCTTGTCTTGAACTCCTGACCTCGTAATTCACCCACCTCAGTCTCCGAAAGTGCTGGGATTACAGGTGTGAGCCACTGTACCCAGCCAATAGGTAGATTTTTATTATCACAGAGAAGCTACTGAATTTTAGGTTCAGGAAAACAGTGATTATAACTGTCTTATTAACCAATGTATTCTCCTTCAACATTGCAAATCCTAGAATAGGCTTAAGGAGCAGAAATATTTATTCTTTTTTTTTGTTGTTGGAGACAGGGTCTCAATCTGTCACCCTGGCCAGAGCGCAGTGGTGTGATCACGGCTCACCGCAGCCTTGAACCCCTTACCTCAAGCGATTCTCCTGCCTCAGCCTCCCAAGTAGCTAGGACTACAGGAGCGTGCTACTACACCAGGCTAATTTAAAATTTTTTTTTTTGAGACAGAGTTTCACTCTTGTTGCCCAGGCTGTTTTTTGAGACAGAGTTTCACTCTTGTTGCCCAGGCTGGAGTGCAATGGCACAACCTCTGCTCACCACAACCTCTGCCTCCTGGGTTCAAGTGATCTCCCGTCTCAGCTTCCCGAGTAGCTGGGATTACAGGCATGCACCACCAAGCCCAGCTAATTTTGCATTTTTTTTTTTTTTTTTTTTGAGACGGAGTTTCGCTCTTGTTACCCAGGCTGGAGTGCAATGGCGCGATCTCGGCTCACTGCAACCTCCGCCTCCTGGGTTCAGGCAATTCTCCTGCCTCAGCCTCCTAAGTAGCTGGGATTATAGGCACGCGCCACCATGCCCAGCTAATTTTTTGTATTTTTAGTAGAGACGGGGTTTCACCATGTTGACCAGGTTGGTCTCGATCTCTCGACCTTGTGATCCACCCGCCTTGGCCTCCCAAAGTGCTGGGATTACAGGCTTGAGCCACCGCGCCCGGCCTAATTTTGCATTTTTAGTAGAGATGGGATTTCTCCATATTGGTCAGGCTGGTCTTGAACTCTCAACCTCGGGTAATCTGTCCGACTCAGCCTCCCAAAGTTCTAGGATTACAGGCGTGAGCCACTACACCCAGCCAATTCTTAATTTTTTTTGTAGAGACGGGGTCTCACTGTGTTACCCGGGCTGGTCTCCAACTCCTAATCTCAAGTGATTCTTCTGTCTTACCCTCCGAAAGCACTGGAGATACAGGCACGAGCCACTGCACCCAGAAAAAACATCAATTATCTCATAACTAAGGGTAGAAATGATGGCACCATACCTACTGAGGCCAGGTTCTGGAAGGTTTCCAGCATCACGTCTCTGTAGAGTTTCCTCTGAGCAGGACTCAGCAAAGCCCACTCATCCAGAGTGAATTCCACAACCACGTCTTCAAAGACCACTGTGTCCTGAAACAAACCACATGTGTGTTCATGAGGATGGTGAAACTCATAGCACCGGGGGTGTGAACTCAGTTTGTAGGACATTCACACAAGATCCTGCAGTCCCCCAATATCCAGAAAGACTCAGTCATGGCCGGGCATGGTGGCACACGCCTGTAATCCCAGCACTTTGGGAGGCTAAGGCACGCAGATCACCTGAGGTCGGGAGTTTGAGACCAGCTTGACCAACATGGAGAAACCCCATCTCTACTAGAAATACAAAATTACCTGGGTGTGGTGGTGTGCACCTGCAATCCCAGGTACTTGGGAGGCTGACAAGGAGAATCACTTGCACCCAGTTGGTGAGGTTGTAGTGAGCTGAGATCGTGCCATTGCACTACAGCCTGGGTAACGAGTGAAAACTCCATCTCAAAAAAAAAAAAAATATATATATATATATATATATATATATATATATATATCTGATGATAAGAACATGTAAGATTTACACTCTCAGTACATTTCTCTCTCTCTTTTTTTTTTTGGTATAAGTAATCTAGAGATTATTATTTTTTTTTTTTTTTGAGATGGAGTCTTGCTCTGTTGCCCCAGGTTAGAGTACAGTGGTGTGATCTTGGCAGAATGTATGGTGATACTGGTGGACTTAAGGACATCCTCTCCAGCACTGAGTGTTGTCAGTGTCTTGGGTGTGCTGTGCTTTTTGTTGGTTTGTTTTTTTGAGACAGAGTCTCACTCTGTTGCCAGGCTGGAGTGCAGTGGTGTGATCTCGGCTCACTGCAACCTCCACCTCCCAGGTTCAAGCGATTCTCCTGCCTCAGCCTCCTGAGTAGCTGAGATTTACAGGTACACACCACCACATCAGGCTGTTTTTTATATTTTTAGTAGAGACGGAGTTTCACCATGTTGGTCAGGCTGGTCTCATACTCCTGACCTCATGCTCTGCCTGCCTCGGCCTCCCAATGTGCTGGGATTACAGGCATGAGCCACTGCGCCTGGCCAGGTGTGTGGTTTAAAAGGATATTCCTAGGATAAGCCCGATTTTAGTTGATATCAGAAAAATGAAATTTTTTAAGGAAATGTAAGTCCTTGAAAATAATAACTCACTTAATGGGTTAGGTCCAAACCCTTGATGCATTAAATAAGCTACTTATTCCTGAAAATACTCATCAGTTTCAGATAAAATAGAAGTACAAAATATCATGTCACCTACAACTTTAGTTATCAAGAGATTTGAAAATATTTTATTTTTTTCCCTAGACATATTTCAGATTTATGGATTGTACTTTCATAACCTTTAGCGTTTTTAGAGGATTATATTTTAAAATAGTTACATATGGTCAGGCGCAGTGGCTCACACCTGTAATCCCAGCACTTTGGGAGGCCAAGGCAGGTGGATCACGAGGTCAGGAGTTGAAGACCAGCCTGACCAACAAGTTGAAGCCCCGTCTCTTCTAAAAACACAAAAATTATCAGGGCGTGGTGGTGCGCACCTGTAATCCCAGCTACTCGGGAAGCTGAGGCAGGAGAGTCTCTTGAACCCAGGAGGCAGAGGTTGCAGTGAGCCAAGATCACACCATTGCACTCCTGCCTGGGCAGCAGAGTGAGACTCCGTCTCCAAAAAAAAATTTTTTTAATAAATAAATAAATAGGATTTCCTACATTGAAAGGTGGCTTTCCAGTAAGAATAAAACCTGGCTGGGTGTGGTGGCTCATGCCTGTAATCCAGGCACTTTGGGAGGCTGAGGCGGGCGGATCACGAGGTCAGGAGTTTGAGATTAGCCTGGCCAACATGGTAAAAGCCTGTCTCTACTAAAGATACAAAAATTAGCTGGGTGTAGTGGTGCCTGCCACTTGGAGAGTGCCAGCTACTCGGGAGTCAAAAAAAAGAAAAAGAAAACGAACAAAAACTATTAAAGAGCAAACTATGATGCATATAAATTTCTCTTGATTTAAGGTAAATGCATGTACAATTTTTAAAAATCCATAGGACCTTTCTTTGTTGTTGTTGAGATGGGGGAGCACTATATCGCCCAGGCTGGCCTTAAACTCTTGGGCTCAAGCAATCCTCCCACCTCAGCCTCCCAAGTAGCTACAACTACAGACACATGCCACCAATTCTGGATTGAAATATCCATAAGACATTTTATTTATTTATTTATTTGTATATTTATTTATGAGATGGAGTCTCACTCTGTCACTCAGCCTGGAGTGCAGTGGTGCAATCCTGGCTCACTGTAAACTCTGTCTCGAGGTTCAACTGATTCTCCTGCCTCAGCCTCCCAAGTAACTGGGATTACAGGTGTGTGCCACCACACCCAGCTAGTGTGTGTGTGCGTGAGAGTGTATGTGTGTTTGTGTTTGTTTGTGTTTGAGACAGTCTTGCTCTTGTCATCCAGGCTGGAGTGCAGTGGCGCAATCTTGCTTCACTGTACCCTCCACCTCCCAGGTTCAATCGATTCTCCTGCCTCAGCCTCCTGAGTAGCTGAGATTACAGGTGTGGGCCACTTTGCCAGGCTAATTTTTTTACATTTAGTAGAGACAGGGTTTTCCCATGTTGACCAGGCTGATCTGAAACTCTTGACCTCAGGTGATCTGCTTACCTTGGCCAACTTTTTGGTGTTTTTAATAGAAATGGGGTTTCACCATGTGGACCAGGCTGGTCTTGAACTCCTGACCTCAGGTGATCCACCATTCTTGGCCTCCCAAAGTGCTGGGATTACAGGTGTGAGCCACCGCGCCCGGCCCTCAGTTCATGTTCTTCACTTGTGTTGAATCCCCATGGATATTTTATTTTATATATAAATGCTACATAAAATATAAAATATATTTACTTATAAAGTTTATATATAATTTATATAAATATATAAATTAAATATATGGTATATATAAATTTATATGCCTATAAATAGGTTATTGGGGTACAGGAGGTATTTGGTTACATGAATAAGCTCTTTAGTAGTTATGTGAGATTTTGGTGCACCTATCACCCAAGCTGTACACACTGCACCCTATTTGTAGTCATTTATCCCTCGTGCAATGGCGCGATCTCGGCTCACTGCAACCTCCGCCTCCTGGGTTCAGGCAATTCTCCTGCCTCAGCCTCCTGAGTAGCTGGGATTACAGGCACGCACCACCATGCCCAGCTAATTTTTTGTATTTTTAGTAGAGACGGGGTTTCACCATGTTGACCAGGATGGTCTCGATCTCTTGACCTCGTGATCCACCCGCCTCGGCCTCCCAAAGTGCTGGGATTACAGGCTTGAGCCACCGCGTCCGGCCCCACTGTGTCATTCTTATGCCTTGGCGTCTTCATAGCTTAGTTCCCACATACCAGTCAGAACATACGACACTTGGGTTTGATTCCTGAGTAATATATATGTATATGAATTAAATAAATATGTTTATAGTATATGGCAAATGTATTTGATGTATTTGTTATATATATATAAAATACATATATATAATTTATTTATTTATTTATTTATTTTGAGACGGAGTTTCGCTCTTGTTACCCAGGCTGGAGTGCAATGGCGCAATCTCGGCTCACCGCAACCTCCACCTCTTGGGTTCAAGCAATTCTCCTGCCTCAGCCTCCTGAGTAGCTGGGATTACAGGCACGTACCACACCCAGCTAATTTTTTTTGTTTTTTTGTTTTTTTTTTTTTTTTGAGACGGAGTTTCGCTCTTGTTACCCAGGCTGGAGTGCAATGGCGCGATCTCGGCTCACCGCAACCTCCGCCTCCTGGGTTCAGGCAATTCTCCTGCCTCAGCCTCCTGAGTAGCTGGGATTACAGGCACGCGCCACCATGCTCAGCTAATTTTTTTTGCACCATTAGTAGAGACGGGGTTTCACCATGTTGACCAGGATGGTCTCGATCTCTTGACCTCGTGATCCACCCGCCTCGGCCTCCCAAAGTGCTGGGATTACAGGCTTGAGCCACCGCGCCCGGCCTCATTTTTTGTGTTTTTAGTAGAGACGGGGTTTCACCATGTTTACCAGGATGGTCTCGATCTCTTGACCTCGTGATCCACCCACCTTGGCCTCCCAAAGTGCTGGGATTACAGGCTTGAGCCACCGCGCCCAGCCAATTTATTTATTTATTTATTAAGATGGAGTCTTGATCATGGCCCAGGCTGGAGGGCAGTGGTGGGATCTCAGCACACTGCAACCTCAGCCTCCTGGATTTGGGCGATTCTCTTGCCTCTGCCTCCTGAGTAGCTGGGACTACAGGGGTGTGCTACCACTGCAGGCTAATTTTTGTACTTTAAAGTAGAGACATGGTTTTCTTGTTGGCCAGGCTGATCTCTAATTTCTAAACTCGGGTAATCTGACCACCTTGGCCTCCCAAAGTGCTGGGAGACATATATATATACCAACACACATACACATTAAAGGAATGGGTTCTTGCTCTGTTGCCCAGGCTGCTTTCAAACTCCCAGACTCAAGCCATCCTCCCACGTTAGCCCCCTAAGTAGTTGGGACTAAGGGCACACCCCCATGCCCGGCTAATGTGTATATTTTTTGTAGAGAGAGGGTGCCACCATGTTGTCCAGGCTGCTCTGAAACTCCTGGGGTCAAGTGATCCTCCTGCCTCAGCCTCCCAAAGTGCTGGGATTACAGTCGTGAAACACCACTCCCGGATCCCCATGGATATTTCAAATGACATAAATTCAGTGTCTGGAGAATCCAGCAAATCCCATCCTGGTCAACATGGTGAAGCCCTGTCTCTACTAAAAATACAAAAATAGCTGAGCGCGGTGGCTCACGCCTGTAATCCCAGCACTTTGGGAGGCCAAGGCAGGTGGATCACGAGGTCAAGACATTGAGGCCATCCTGGCCAACATAGTGAAACCCCATCTCTACTAAAAATACAAAAATTAGCTGGGCATGGTGGTGTGCACCTGTAGTCCCAGCTACTCGGGAGGTTGAGGAAGGAGAATTGCTTGAACCTGGGAGGCAGAGGTTGCAGTGCCGAGATCGTGCCACCGCACTCCAGAGAGACTCTGTTTCAAGAAAAAAGAAAAAAAAGAAAAAAAAGAAAACCCACAAGTGTCTATTCCATTCAGAAATAAAGCTGTCATTCAGTTATTTCCATGATAATAAAAAATGCTTTGTAAACAATCACACTTTAACACTTTTAGGTGGATGAAATAGGATTTTGCATTAAACTCTGAAATCAAAATAATAAAAGAACAGAGGCCTGGTGAGGTGGCTGATGCCTGTAATCTCAATACTTTTGCTGAGGAGGTGGATCACCTAAGGTCAGGAGTTCAAGACCAGCCTGGCCAATATGGTGAAACCCGTCTCTACTAAAAAGAATACAAAACTTAGCTCGGTGGGGTAGCTCACGCTTGTACTCCCAATGATTTGGGAGGCTGAGATGGGCAGATCACCTGAGGTCAGGAGTACAAGATCAGGCTGGTCAACACAGTAAAACCCTGTCTCCAGTAAAAATAGAAAAATTAACCAGTCGTGGTGGCACGTGCCTGTAGTCCCAGCTACTTGGGAGGCTGAGGCCGGAGACTCAGTTGAACCCGGGAGGCAGAGGTTGCAGTGAGGCGAGTTCAAGCCCTTGCACTCAAGCCTCAGTGACAGAGCAATACTCCAACTCAAAAATAAAAATAAAAAATAAATAAAAGAACAGAACAGGTCTGGCGCAGTGGCTCACATCTGTAATCCCAGCACTTTGGGAGTCCGAGGCCCGTGAATCATGAGGTCAGGGGATCAAGACCATCCTAGCCAACATGGTGAAACCCCATCCCTACTAAACTACAAAAAAAAAAAAAAGAAAGAAAGAAAGAAAAAAAAAGGAACCGGGCATGGTGGCGCATGCCTGTAATCCCAGCTACTCAGGAGGCTGAGGCCGGAGAATCACTTGAACGCGGGAGGTGGAGGTTGCAACGAACCGAGATCGCGCCACTGCGCTCCAGCCAGAGCAAGACTCCATCTCAAAAAAAAACAAAGAAAAAAAAAAAAACACAACAGAATTATCATCTGTCACAAATTCCCCACCCTGGAAAAGGAGAATAACTGATATTTTAGCCAGTTTTTGTAATTCATCATATTATATATCAAACATTTTTTGCTTGTAGGAATGTATTCATTTCGGGGGGTGTCATCATAAAAGATTTTCTCTCTTTCTCTGCGATCCCTTTTCCTGGGAGCCCTATCGAGGCTAAGCCCTGGAATCCCATTTGTCATCATCGAAAAGAAAACAACAGATGTGAGAAGCTTAAACACGTGCAAAAAAAAAAAAAAAAGGCACGGAAGAGTTAGCAAAGGGAATTTAAGACAAGACCTTTATTTTTTTCCCTGAAATTCACCTCTTTGGAAATTATTCTTTACCGTATGTTCCGTGGGGTGAAAAAAAATCTGAGGCTCCAGTAACCAAATCAATCTTTAGTAGGAGACCCGCCCAGGCAGAGGCGGCTGGGCTAGAGTCAGGCCTGCGTGCCTTTGGGGTCAGGCCCGGCCATCCCACCACGTGGGGCGCCTGCACCACCTGTCCAGCCCTCGCCCCTCCCAGGGACGTGGCCTGGGCCCAAAGTCTGCATCTAAAGCGCATTCCGCTTTGGGGGTTGTTGCACAGCCTAGCCAGGGTGGGTTTTTGAGATCCCTCAAGGCAGGAGTCATTTCTTTTTTTCCCTCCATCCCAGCGTCCTGACAACTATGACTTTCCAGGGAAAGAAGACTGGGTCGGGAGGGAAGTCCCCGCAGGGCCCAGGGGTGAAACCAGGACAGAGGCTGCATGGGGGTCCCGGGAGACCCCCCCCAGGAGTTTCAGCGGGTTCTGGACGCTTCCAAACCTTCCCTCCCAGGGCTCCGGCTCAGGCTTGCACTCCGCCCTGCACTCACCATGTCCTGCCCGTTCCTAAGCTCTGTGAGGAGCTCCCTGCGCCCCGCAGCAGCTGCAGGTGAGCACGACGGGGACACCAGTGGTCACTCTGGGCAGGCGGGGTGTGCTCGGCAGGGAGTACAGCAACGCCCCACCCCAAGGGCTCTGATTGGATGGTTCTCCTCTCTGCTCACCTCTAATTGGAGAGTTCACCAGTCACATCCCATATCCCCTGATTGGACAATTCTCCGGACTCTGCCCCTGCTCTTCTGGTTGGTCAGAGTGCCAAGCCTTGCAGGAGATCCCGATTCGGCAGTTCAGGCCCCACCCCAGCCCTCCCAATTGGTCAGGTTTCCAGGCCCCGCCTCAGTTCCCTTGATTCAGGGTCTCCAGGCCCCACTCTGCTTCCCGATTGAACAGTTCTCCAGGCCCTGCCTCAGCTCCCTTGATTGGTCAGTCCTCTAGGCTCCGCCCCAATCCCCCTGATTGACAGTTCTCCATGTTCCACCTCAGCTTCCCTGATTGGTCATTCTCTAGGCCCCACCCCTGCTGCCTAACTGGTCAGTTCTCGGGTCTTGGGTCCTGCAGACAGCATCCCCCATCCACAGTGGTCTCCTTCCTGAAATGAAAATGGTACTGACTTAGAGGCAAACCTGGTCCCTTTGGGTATCCCACCTGTAGGAAAAAACAGCTTCTGTCCTCAGTCTGTTGCCAGATTCCATGATGCTGGAGGAGGTCCCCTCTCTCTCCTGACCCGTAGACACCTGGGGAGCCCAATGAGGTCAAGCGAGTGACCAAAGAAAAGATTACCATTCCCTAACCAGGGTCAGCACAGTTGTTAGAACTGAACTCTTGAACTATTAACAATGGTCTAGCCCACTGTTCACAGTAGCTCACACCTGTAATCTCAGCACTTTGGGAGGCCAAGGCAGGTGCATCACGAGGTCAAGAGATCGAGACCAGCTGGGCCAAACTGGTCAAACCCCGTCTCTACTAAAAATACAAAAATTAGCCAGGCGTGGTGGCGGGAGCCCATAGTCCCAGCTACTTGAGAGACTGAGGCAGGAGAATTGCTTGAACCTGGGAGGTGGAGGTTGGGGTCAGCCGAGATTGTGCCACTACAAGAGCAAAACTCCGTCTCAAAAAAAAAAAAAAGAAGATGTTATCTTTAGTTTTTCTTTTTTAAGATGGGGTCTTGCTGTGTTGCTCAGGCTGGAGTGCAGTGGTGTGATCCCAGCTCCCTGCAACGTCCGGCTTCCTGGGCTCAAGCAATCCTCCCACATCAGCTTCCCAGATAGCTGGACACGCACACACGCACCACCAGGCCAGGCTAATTTCTTTTTTCTTTTCTTCTTCTTCTTTTTTTTTTTTTTGGAGAGACAGGATTTTGCCATGTCGCTGGTCTCGAACTCCCAGGCTCAAGTGATCCTCCTTCTGCCTCAGCCTCCTAAAGTGCTAGGCTTACAGGCCAGAGCCACCATGCCTGGCCATCTTTAGTTTCTACAGGGGAACTGAACATCCCATCATTCTAGCTTCCTTGGATATTGTTTAGGCTACTGTTACCTTCTTGCTTATCAAGTGGCTTATTTATTTCTTGGGGCTAACTAGGTGACGGAAATTACCCTTGAAGAAACCGGAGATTTTAAAAAATTTCTATGCTTGGGAGGCCCGCAGGCCCCGAAGAGGGAGTCCCTGCTACACCTCACACCCACCCTCAAACCTCCTCTTGGCACAAATGTGCTAATTTCCTGATAATTGCACATACTTTTAGGACCATCACAGGATCGCAGGCACTGCGTCAGGCACACATGTCATCCTGTCGACTCAAATAAATCATGAAGCCATCAGAAAATGTTCAGAGCACTCCAGCCACATGCAGCAGAAAGCAAATGCTTTAGATGCTTTCCCTGAGGGCAGCACTCCCAGACAGGACCGCTGATGAGTGCTTGGTTCGGGACCACTTATTGGCCAGCCAGAGAGTTATGTTCCCTTAAAGGGGCTGCTGCCTTCGTGTGGGCACTGCAAAGGTTTCACAAATAACAAATGAGACAGTGGACTAAAACGGTCTAAAACATTACTGAAATATTTGAAAAGATGCCATGGAACACCAATGACACATTTTCCTGGCTCTCTCCAATGCCCCAAGATGACTGTATCTGAATGCTCTTTCAAGACCTTCTTTTTATTTTTTTGACATGGAGTCTCACTCTGTTACCCAGGCTGGAGTGCAGTGGCATGATCTTGGCTCACTGCAGCATCCCAGGTTCAAGCAATTCTAATTCTAAGCCTCTCGAGTAGCTGGGACTACAGGCTCCTGCCACCACCACGCCTGGCTAATTTTTGTATTTTTAGTAGAGACGGAATTTCACTTTGTTGGCCAGGCTTCTCTCAAACGCCTAACCTCCAGTGATCCGCCTGCCTTAGCCCTCCAAGGTGCCAGGATTACAGGCGTGAGCCACCACACCCAGCCTAAAAATAGAGAGTAACTGGAACATCGGTCACTGGAAGTCACTAGAACATCACTTCTGGTTGCATCCTCTTCAGAGGATGAGTCTCAGGGAAAACAGAAAGTTTGAGGTTTGGTCTGAGGGCAGGGGAATAAAAACACCTTTCTCGTTATTGTGTATGATGGCATTACATTTATGTAACAAATCTCTACCTACAAAGTTTTCCAGTGAGGCTTCGGAAACTAGAACGCTATGATGAGTGTTAAGCAAGACTGAGGCCGTTGGCGTGGCCTGAGATGGGGTAATGAAATGAGTCACCTTAAGACTGGGACAGCTTCAACAGAATTAAAAGGGACAGGAAAGATGAGTACTCTGAGAAACTGGTGGAGAAAGTCAGACCAATGTCAATTTAGAAGGCTAGTTTCTGATCTTCTATTTGAAATTTAATGGCAGGTTCTGGAGTGCAACAGAGGGTTGGCTGGCCTCCATCAATCACTAGGGACTTGAGTCAAAACTCCTGATGCATTTTATATGCTCCCATTTATGAAAATACTTTCCTATTTAAAAGCCAGTGGAAGTACAAACTCTGATATTATTTACTGACAAAACAAACTGAAGAAAACATTCATGTTTTATGATTTACAAAAAGTTCTGGCCACTTTCACAAAAATTAGTTTAAAGGATTACCATGTAGAAAACAGGCTTCCTGTTAATAATTCCAATCATTTGGTTTATAAAGTATATTAAAATAAAATATAGCAGTTATGTGTTTGTTTGGGACAGGGTTTGTTTGAGTTGGGGTCTTGCTCTTATTTTGAGGCTGGAGTGCAGTGGCACGATCAAGGCTTACTGCAGCCCTGACTTCCTGGGCCCAAGCTATCCTCCAGCTTCAGCCTCCTGAGTAACTGGGACTACAGGTGAGCACCACCACACTGGGCTAATTTTCATACGTTTTGCAAAGATGGGGTTTCTTCAAGTTGCCCAGCCTGGTCTTGAATTCCTGAGCTCAAGGAACCCGCCTGCCTCGGCCTTGTAAAGTGCTGGAATTATGGGTGTGAGCCTCTGAGCCCTGCCCAATTGCTGTTTTTTAAATAAACAATGAACGCCAAACTTTAAAAAATCAATTTGAGGCTAGGTATGGTGGCTCACGCCTGTAATCCCAGCACTTTGGGAGGCCGAAGTGGGCAGAGGATCACTTGAGATCAGGAGTTCAAGACCAGTCTGGCCACCATAGTGAAATCCCATCTCCACTAAAAATACAAAAAAATTAGCTCGGCATGGTGGTGCACACCTGTAATCACAGCTACTTGGGAGGCTGAGACATGAGAATTGCTTCAACCTGGGAGGCAGAGGTTGCAGTGAGCCAAGATCACGCCACTGCACTCTAGCCTGAGCAACAGAGCGAGACTCTGTCCCCACCCTAACCACTCCCCCAAAAATTCACTCAAACTTACCAAATAAACTTCGAAGTTTTTTTTTTTTTTTTTACTATATATTGGAAGAATTTAACAGTACAATAAATATATGCCTCTCAAAGCTTAAGTACAATTCATTAATAACTCTTAGCCTTTATATTTCATCACACAAAGACTGGAAAACACAGAGACACAGAAACACCACAGCCGTGCAGTGAGACACATGGACATTCAGACACTCCTTCCTGAAGACAGGGACCACCACCAAGACACATGTAACCACCCAGACACACCAATATATGTCCCCACAGAATCACCCAGACTTTGTCGCTAGGAAAAACAGGTGGACACACCCAAGCACCCTCAGGAGCGCCCTGGAGGTAGTAACAGACTATCCCACAGACACCCACAGTCCACACCCTCTGCACCCCTTTCCCCATCTTTTTCTTCTTAGGAATTACCACTGTCCACACAACGTGTACTTGACTTGCATCCCTCGTGTTTTTGTTTTGTTTTTTGTCCCCTACCGCATTAGCTTCAAGGGAACAAGGATATTTTGTCACTTCCGTTCACTGCAGCGCCTCGGGCACCATGTAGGTGATGAACATCAAGGCGTGTTCCAAATGAATTAACTGTTCTGTGTTCTGGCTTCTGTAAACCTGTTAGCTGCTGCTTCCACTTGGATGTATAAAAAGTACCCCATTTTCTTTCCCCTTTGCTCAGCCTTGGAATACTAATCCGCTGAGCTGGTGGCCATGTTAATAAAATCCTCCTGTTAGGCCGGGTGCGGTGGCTCATGCCTGTAATCCTAGCACTTTGGGAGGCCAAGGTGGGTGGATCACCTGAGGTCAGGAGTTCAAGACCAGCTTGGCCATCATGGTGAAACCCCATCTCAAAAAATAATAATAAAGGCCGGGCGCGGTGGCTCAAGCCTGTAATCCCAGCACTTTGGGAGGCCGAGGCGGGTGGATCACAAAGTCAAGAGATTGAGACCATCCAGGTCAACTTGTTGAAGCCCCGTCTCTACTAAAAAAAAATACAAAAAATTAGCTGGACATGGTGGCGCATGCCTGTAATCCCAGCTACTCCGGAGGCTGAGGCAGGAGAATTGCCTGAACCCAGGAGGCGGAGGTTGCGGTGAGCCGAGATCGCGCCATTGCACTCCAGCCTGGGTAGCAAGAGCAAAACTCCGTCTCAAAAAAAAAAAAAAAAAAAAAAAAAAGAATGAACTCCTCACTACCA